AGCAGACTAGACCAGTGTTAGAGAAGTCAATAAGAGAAGTTAAATTCCTCCTTAGTAGTTAATTTTCTCGAAATGTAAAGGCACAACCTAGATTCGAGCCAATGTCTTAAGTAGTTGAACATGTTATTACTCAACAATCTGACACGTTTTCATTTGTGTCAAAAACAACTATCATCTTCGGGGAGGTTTAATGGAAGTTGGCATCCAATATGTTACATTACCACACCCAACTGAACTATAGTATAGATCCATTACACTTTGTGATACAAATGCGGAACTGGGGAAAAATCTAAAGAATACATATTTTAATTACCATACCAACTAACCCTATACTCATTAAAACCCACCACCTTATTCCACTACTTTAACCCTATCTGATCCTGCCAACGGCCTGAGAGGACAAGACACTACCACTCAACACACCATGTAACTCATCTGAAGTCATCTCGTACCCCCAAGTACTTCTCTGCAGCTGCCAACACATCTATTTTCTGTGATTTCCTTTCCTTTTCTGCAGTACAGTTGATAACCATTGCTATGAATGCGAAGAAGCAAAACTTACTGAAGCATATATCACTCATTGGCCTATCTCTCTGTGCTGGCACAGATCTACTATTCACAGGGATCCTCTTAGAATCCCTCACCCTTGACCCATCCTCCTCTACTTTCTTCACTGCCTCAGCATACGACACCTTCTGCACTACTCTGACTAGCCACCTCAACCTGCTTCTCTCGCACCGGACACTTCCGATCCCCAGCAACATGTGCACCCCTACAGTTGACACACACAACTTTATCCACCAAAACTACACAATCCTCTATCCCATGCCCTCCTGCACACTTCCCACATCTTGGAATCTCCCTCCTACACACAGCTGCAACATGACCATAAACGTTTCACCTGAAACAGCGCAGTGGATTCACCACAAACGCTCTAACAGGATAAATGATATATCCTAAAATGACCTTGTCGGGTAAAGACTGACTCAAAAGGACTGACAGTGACTCCTCTGTTTCACCATGCTCACCACCAGGTCTGCGTCGCACCAAACGGCGGGCATCACAAACACCAGAAATCTTCAACTTCAATTGCTCCACCTCCACACTTAACACTACCCCAGAAATCACTCCTTTCAACGGTGCCCTGTTCCTAAGGGCAAAGTAAGAAACAGATCTTGATCTAAGTTGTGTCACACGGAGCGCCTGCTCCCTCTGATCTGAAGAAACACAAACATTCATCACAAGTCCACGTCGGGTTGCCTTCACCGACTCAACAGCACCCACCATCTTTTCCACCCAACCTGAAACCACCTATGGATCAGCCAAAAGGCCTGGTTCCACCCTCTTCAAAAATCTCACTCCCGCTGGACCAAATGTATCTTTATCATAACCATGTCCATCAATGCAGGGCTCGGGCTCCGAGCTCCTCACAACATCTTCTACCCCTTCCATTTCACCTCCAGAACTCAAACTGGCGTCTGGCTCACTCTGTTTGAACTTGACACCTAGCCTCCTCGACATACCCTCTTCCTTGTTAGTGCTAGCTTCAACAGATGCAAACCCATCGTCTGCCTTCCTCAGTCTTTTCAACCTCCTCTCTCTTTCCCTCCAATCCTCCTCCCTTAACCAATTACCTGACTCCTGATAATATTCAACTTTTCCAAGCCAAAATCTATTTTTAGCCACTTCGAGAAACATGCTAAGCTCTGTACTTCCTCTACTTCAAACACACTACTCGTCTGTCACAACTTTATATCGAAGGAGTGCCTTTGATTTGACGGCCTACACATGCGCAGTTCAGCGGGTGACGACCGTTAGACCCGATGATGTGTTTCTATGCATGTGTTTAGCTAGCCAACGTCGCCATGATATCGCCTACAAGTGTGATCGGGGTGTTCTATTGTAGAAGCACTTTCTGCCTATTGTCATACTGTACTGTCTTTGGTACAATTTACACACTGCCTATATTTAGTTAGTTGTGTGATAGGGGGGTTGGAGACATGTTTATTTCGACATTACAAAGAAAAACTTTTATAAACACTGCCACGTTGCACTGAGCCTTGCTGTTGGAAAACCACATCAGTGTCCGACTTTCAGCTGTCGCAGATGCACTTCCCCCGACTTCACTCCTCGACTTTCGTCTGCAGTCGGTTGCTTCAGCCTTACCACTCAAACAAGCCCAGTGACTCACTTGCAATGCCGGCCGGCCCTTGCTCGGTATTGATTAGAAGGTATACAGCTTTTGTCCGATTTTGATTTTTTGAAGCGGGTTAGGTTAAGGTTAGCTAAAATGCTAAATAAATCAACTTTTGATGTTAATTTGACAAAAGCTGTATCCCTTCTAGCCCTTCTCGAAGACCCAAGGCATTAAAGGTAGACTCGGCGATATGATGTAGATGCAGAAAGTAAACAGCATAGTGGGTCAATTTCCGCAACAACAAAGAAAATTTAACCACGAGGCTCAACTTCTCCGCTGTTTTGGTGCCCTGGCTACCACTCTGTGAACAGTGTGAAGTGAACCCGTGCACATGTGCATTTACAGTGTGTGAGCGAAGTCTTGCATCTCGCCCATCTCAATATCTGTGGTGATGCTCGTGGCAACGTCATTTCGCTGAGTATACCTTTAACAAGGCATTCTGCCTTATCCCAAGGGTTCTCAGCTATAACAAAGTGTCTATTGGACCATTCTAGACAATGAGAGGGCAGATACGCTTGTGAACAGGCCATAGAGATAGATAGAGGACTCATCTTTATCCGTGACATTATAGCGTGGGCAGTGCCAATGAAGCTATCTCCATTTGAAAGTAGTACATTTTCATCTTCATTGGCTGATTGCTCCCAACTCATAGGAATCCCCACCCGTTTGACTACTTTTAAATGGTGGAAGCCCTCAATGGAAATGTCCATGCTTAAATGGGTTATATCCATGAGTCCTCAATATATCTCTATGACAACAGGCACAACTCCGATATACACTGAACATCTTCCAAATATTGAGATGCACCCCTCCCTTTTGCCCTCAGAACAGCCTCAATTCATCGGGGCATGTACTCTACAAGGTGTCAAGCGTTCCACAGGGATGCCGGCCCATGTTGACTCCAATGCTTCCCACAGTTGTCAAGTTGGCTGGATGTCCTTTGGGTGGTGGACTATTTTTTTATACACATTCACACAGGAAACTGTTGAGCGTGGAAAAATCCAGCAGCTTTGCAGTTCTTGACACAAACCCGTGCGCCTGACACCTACTACTATACCCTGTTCAAAGGCACTTAAATATTTTGTCTTGCCCATTCGCCCTCTGAATGGCACACATACACAATCCATGTCTCAATTCTCAAGGCTTAAAAATCCTTCTTTAACCTGTCTCCTACCCTTTATATACACTGATTTTGAAGTGGATTTAACACGTGGCATCAATAAGGGATCATAGCTTTTACCTGGTCAGTCTGTCATGGAAAGAGCAGGTGTTCCTAATGTTTTGTACACTCAGTGTAAGGTATTTGTATTTTATATATTTTTTGTTGACCAAATTCGACACTCATTGACCTCCATACAAAAATTCCTCACTTTGTATGCTTATTTTCGTGCACAGATTTTGGGCGAAGAAAAACATCTCGCTTCGCTTCTTTCTCTCTGGCTATAATCACCGCTTACCGGTGGGACCATGTGAACAACAATCCCAACGCTCTGTTTTAACATTTACAAACGTCAATAATTATCACTTGCGATACAGTTTTCAAAACCATATGGAATTATCTTTCATATCAGTGAGAAATAATCTTTCGAATAGAAAATATACACTTACTGTATTAGGTCAGATCCAAACGGCTGTGTGCCTCCAGCCAACAAACTATACTTCCGCTACACTTCCTCCCCAGTTACGCTTACACACAGGTGTTCGAGCACGCTAGATAGCTAATTAGTGCAGGTGGTCGTCTCGGTCTTCTGTCTGTCTTCCGTAAACAAGCGCTCTAACATGGAGATGTTGCTGTGTGGGAACACTAACCCTGACCCTATTTAGTGTCTATGATTGGGCTAGGCCGGCCCTAGCCTTTCGGGGGGCCCTAAGCAAGATTTTAGTCACCCCCCCTTGATGGCGGAGATAAAATGTTTAATTTTAAAGCTAATGTCCTGCAATTCTACACATTTTGCCAATACTTATGCCATGTAAGTGATATCTGAGTGAGCGTGACTAATAATATCAAATGGGGCCCACTGGAGGTCAGGGCCCCTGGGCAGATACAGGTTTAGATAGCTGGTTAGAGTAAATTACCAATCTAAAATGTTTTGCTGACTTGCTAATTGAGTAACTGTCAGTGACTGACACAACATGAGAAAAACTGCTGATGCACAATTTCGAAATTGCACCTTGTGTATTCTACTATTCTAACTCAACAGTAGCTTGTGACCCCAACTGAGTTCCTAAAAATAATATGTATTAGTTATTTTTTGGTCACTTATACCCTGCTCACTTCGCTAGTCTGTCAGTGTGGCCCAATTATATACAGTCATTGCTATTGCCACATTATGTGAGATGCATGTTCATTAAACTTTAGCCTGAGAAGCTGGCTAGCTACATAGCCTAGGCTAGTACTGGTTGACTCATGCGCTAGCCAGCTAGCTATTTTTTTAGCAATGGTTCTGGCCTTGTTTGTCTAAGGTCAGCCAGTGAGCGCCTCAAACAAATAGCGCACATTGTTGCTTACTTGTCTGTAATGATAGTTGAGGCCAACTTAGCTAGATGACGTGCTCTCGTATCAAAGTCCAGGCCGTCCTGAAGAGGATATCTGTCATACTCAGAGCTGTCAAACTCATAGCCTTGACACATGACTCCAAAGACAAGGCGTTTTAAAGACATTAATACTGTTAAACGCCTTGTCTTTGGAGTCACTTGTCAAGCCTGTCTTGCCTGCGTCTACACTCTAGTTACGATGCGGCTTCACATCTTTCATGCCAAGCCACTCACTAATAAGTAGGCTATATTTTTTTTATGCATAGACTCTCTGGATTTGAATCCAGATGGGACTTCATCACGACAGAAACGTAACCAGCAGCAATCCAGGAGGGGTTGGAACAGAGAGAACCACAACCGTAACTGGAGTGGTTCTAATAATTACGGCCCAGCACCACAGCAGCAGCAAGGCCATTTTCACCATGGGGTCAAACAATCTCATGTCCATGACAATTTAACTCTCCCTGTAAATTTCCATCCTCCTCCCTACCACCAAGAGGATGTACCAAGGGGTCGAAGAAGAGGAGGGGGTAACGGAGGTGGTGGGGGAGGGGGCCGAGGCTCAATGGGCCAGCCTCCAAGGTGGAATAGGCCTGGGGTTGACACTGGAACTGGCCCCCCTGCCTTACCCGGGGGCCACCATGGACTGCTTGGTGGTGGTGGAGGCAACAGGCCTGGAACACCCCCCATAGACGGGCCTAGCTGGCGTCGACGAGACCCTGGCGGCCTGGGTGAAGAGGTAGGGCCTGCCCACGAAGACCACCAGGACACCTCCCCTGAAAAGCCCAGATGGTTCAGCCAGGAGCCGCGGAGAGAAGAGAGAGGGGAAAGGAGCGCTAAAGGACCTCCTCACTCTCTGGAAAAGCAGGAGAACCAGGAAAACCATTCTACAGGAGGAGGAGGCTGGGAACCTGCTGAGCCCAGAGAAGAAACACGACCATCAGAAATGGGGGCCAGAAACCGGAAAGGCGGGAGAGCCGAGGAAAGGAACCGCCACGTCGACGCTCAAAAGAAATTCCCCGAGCCCAAGCGACGCCAGGGGCCTATCAAAGTATATCCCCAGGAGAGGAAGGACCCTGAGAGGGGAGCCAGAGACACCCCCTCTGGCCATCGTGACAAACCGGGCTCCAGCACTGAAGAAGAGCCCAGCTGGAGGGGTCAGGGGAGAGGCCAGGGGAGACGCACCCCCCTGCAGGACAGAGGCCAGAGGAGAACACCTAACTCAGACCACAGGCCTGGACAGAAGAGGTGGGACAACGTGCCCATCAAGAGCAAGGAGACTCAGACAGGTGAGAGGACAAAGTTTCATGGCTTTTCAATAAGTCCCACAGTAAAAAAATTAAAAATAACGCCAAGCTAAAGAAAATCTGAAAACATTTTTGATTGGATCTGTCATTTGTAAATGAGTTTGTTCTGAGAGTAGTTATCATGTTCATATTGTGTTCCAAATGGCACCCTATACATGATGCACTACTATGGTCCCTGGTCAAAAATAGTTCACTATATAGGGAATAGGGTGCCATTTGAGAAGATACCATCGTTTGGTCTAGTTACTCTCTCCTCCATATCTGTCCAGGTTGCCTGATCGAGCAGCTGTCTGAGGAGAAGTATGAGTGCATGGTGTGCTGTGAGGTGATCAGAGTCATGGCTCCAGTCTGGAGCTGCCACAGCTGCTTCCATGTCTTCCATCTCAACTGCATCAAGAAGTGGGCCCGCTCCCCAGCCTCACAGGCAGATGGTAGGCCTGACACACACAGACGATTCGGCACTGCCTAACAGTCCCTTCAGCTCTTCATTTATTCATGAGTTTCAACACAATAGTCTTCTATAGATGGCACAATGCTCCCCCACACAGACAATACAGGAGTGCAAATTCTGCTCGACAGATGGTACTTCTGTACATTGATGATGCTACAATATCCACTGTGGCAAAAGTGTGATCCCAGTGACCTTATCTTAATGGCAGCTAATGTGCAGTGATGTTACTACTGTACTAAAAATCAAATCAACGTTTACTGGTCACGTACACCGATTTGCAGGTATTATAGCATGTGCAGCGAAATGCTTATGTTACTAGCGCCAACAGTGCAGTAGAATGTCTCACAAATACAATACAAGTACACAAATAAAAACAATCTAATCAAGAATTGACTGAACGAGTCCAATTAACAATAAAGAGTAGATATATTAGAGTGAGCATGTCAGAATCCAGAATATAAATACGTGGTGTGATTAGACAGTATTTGGAAAGAAAATGGTATGTACAGTAGTAGGTATATTAGGATGAGCTATGTTGAGAATACAGTATATACATACACAGTGAGTAAACAACAGTATATAAACAGAATATGAGGTGACCAGCGTTCAATGACTCTAAATACATGGGGCATTAGTCTCAACGTTCAGGGCAGAGTACCGGGCAGGTAGCCGGCTAGTGATGACTGTTCAACAGTCTGATGGCCTGCAGATAGAAGCTGTTTTTCAGTCTCGTAGAGCTCGGACAATAAACCGAAAATTATCGACACCAATCACTTATCGCAGGCATTTTGCTGATATCGTTCATTAAGATAAGTAGCCTATAATAGAGAAATGTGAAGCTTTAAATGTTTGCTAATATGGGTGATTGTTAATGGGACGATTGATAGCTATAATCATCAAACTAGTAGTGGTAGTTTAAAGGATAGATAATAGCAGTGTGAACAGACCGTGGCTCGGGTGGCTGAGGTTCTTAGAGTACAACATTACAATCTAAGATATAGTGTACAATATTGTGACTCACCATTTAGCTAATGAAATGCTATGTAAATTGGTATATGTAATATGCAAACTTTGCTCTCATTTGCAGAAACAAATGACGGGTGGAGGTGTCCGGCCTGTCAGAATGTTGTCTTCCAACCCCCAAACATCTACAAGTGCTTCTGTGGTAAGGGATTAGCTAATAGCCAATTTTAGCCATTATTCCCAGACAGTAGTGCATCCCTAGTCTTTCGCTCTCTTTGAGATGCTTTGTGAATTATAACTAATAGAAAGTTTCATTACAAATAATTATTAATCTCAATGACACTAACCTGGTAAAATAAAGGTTACATAAACAAGTAGTAGAAATCAATGTCCTTGTCCCGAGTTCTGGAGTTATTTCCGTATACTGTGTTGAATTATTCTGGTATGATTGACAGGCAAAGTGACCAACCCTGAGTTCCAGCGTAGTGAGATCCCACACAGCTGTGGAGACATGTGTGGGAAGAAGAGGAGCGGAGCGGACTGCAAGCACCCCTGTAACATGTAAGCCACAACCCAATACATGCAGAACACACCTCAACCCACCACCACATAACAATCTGTTGTTCTACAACATTAAGTCGTTATCTTGATTGTGTCCCCTATGTGGTTGTGTCCAGGGCTCTAAAGTGTAACCATTTTGGTTGCATATGCTCCTAAATATTTTTGCTGGGTGTGCACCAGTGCGCCTAGAAAAAAATAATTAGCCCAGATAATAATTGTTGTAATGATTAGGCTTTGCTCTACCGTTGTTTCCGAGTGCCCTAGAGCGCATATATTCGTTAGCATCATGGTTGTACCATTACTACAGCTGAAACTGCTATTTTGTAGCCCAAACAGATGAAAAGATATGACCCTTTTTACCGGCACAACATTTTTTTCTTCCTTTGGCGGTTTGGTGAGCCGCATTTTACATTGAAAAACCATGTCGCGGGACGTTCTAAAACTACTTGGGGGGGGGGGGCGCAGCATTTGTTTACACCTTGTTCAGTCATTTTACCTCATTAGCTAGCTAGCTAACAACCTGGTAACTTTACTAGTAGGCTATATCCGAACATTTGGGGGAAAGGAAAAGGGATAGCTTCTTAAGGAGATCAATGATTATAGTAATGAAGGAATGACTGATCTCCTTCATGTCATCACTCACAAACTTGATGTTTTTAAAGAGACAGTGTACAATTTTCAATGTAATGCATCTCAATAGGTAAGTAGTGCTTTTACACAATGTAGAAACCTAATATTCCACAAATGACTTTGCGATTTCAATGACAGGTATTTGTATCAACATTTAAGCTTTTTATAATAAACAAAAATGTATTTACAGGGTTACTTTGTAGTTTTACGGCACAACAAGTGCTTCAGAAGTACAGTATCTGGAATTCATATAGACCCAATATAGGCTATCTCAATAAATAAATCAAATATTTTCTGGTGCTTCTAAATTTTATAAGTTGGGAGCATTAGTGCTACCAATGAAAAATGTTAATTTAGATCCCTGGTTGTGTCTCACCAGCTTGTGTCACCCCGGACCTTGTCCCCAGTGTCCTGCCTCTGTCACCAAAGCCTGCATCTGCGGAAGAACCAGGTACTGTATATCCTACTGACCTAATGTCTGAGTCCCAAATGGCACCATTTTCCCTATATGATGCCCATAGGGCTCTGGTCAAAAGTAGTGCACTATATATGGCAGGGGTGGGCAATAATTTTGGCTTAAGGGCCACAACGAGATTTCAAAATTCAGCGGAGGGCTGCACAGATTTGCGGGCCAGAAAAAGGGCAGTTATTTGAAAACATATAGGTCCATTATCATTTCTAAAATAATAACCGACTGTTAATTTACATGCCTTAGCTTAGGCTGCCAAATGTGCTCAATTTCTGTGTCACTATTACTGAAGTATAACAATTGGTATACAGTGCCTTCGGAAAGTATTCGGACCCCTTGACTTTTTCCACTTGTTTTTACGTTACAGCCTTATTCTAAAATGGATGAAATGAATACAAATCCTCAGCAATCTACAAACAATACCCCATAATGACAAAGCAAAAACAGGTTTTTAGAAATGTTTGCAAATGTATTAAAAACAAAAAACAGAAATACCTTATTTACATAAGTATTCAGATCCTTTGCTATGAGACTTGAGCTCAGGTGCGTTATGTTTCCATTGATCATCCTTGATATGTTTCTACAACTTGATTGGAGTCCAGCTGTGGTAAATTCAATTGATTGGACATGATTTGGAAAGGCACACGCCTGTCTATATAAGGTCCCACAGTTGACAGTGCATGTCAGAGCAAAAACCAAGCCATGAGGTCGAAGGAATTGTCTGTAGAGCTCCAAGACTGGAATGTGTCGAGGCACAGATCTGGGGAAGGGTACAAAAACATTTCAGCAGCATTGAAGGTCCCCAAGAACACACTGGCCTCCATCATTCTTAAATGGAAGAAGTTTAGAACCACCAAGACTCTTCCTAGACCTGGCTGCCCGGCCAAACTGAGCAATCGGGGGAGAAGGGCCTTGGTCAGGGAGGTGACCAAGAACCTGATGGTCACTCTGACAGAGCTCCAGAGTTCCTCTGTGGAGATGGGAGAACCTTCCAGAAGGACAACCGTCTCTGCAGCACTCCACTAATCAGGCCTTTATGTTAGTGGCCAGACGGAAGCCACTCCTCAGTAAAAGGCACATGACAGCCCGCTTGGAGTTTGCCAAAAGTCACCTAAAGACTCTCAGACCATGAGAAACAAGATTCTCTGGTCTGATGAAACCAAGATTGAACTCTTTGCCCTGAATTCCAAGCGTCACGTCTGGAGGAAACCTGGCACCATCCCTACGGTGAAGCATGGTGGTGGCAGCACGTGCTGTGGGAATGTTTTTCAGCGGCATGGACTGGGAGACTAGTTAGGATCAAGGGAAAGTTGAACGGAGCAAAGTACAGAGAAATCCTTGATGAAAACCTGCTCCAGAGCGCTCAGGACCTCAGACTGGGGTGAAGGTTCACTTTCCAACTGGACAACGACCCTAAGCACACAGCCAAGACAACGCAGGTGTGGGTTCGTGACAAGTCTCTGAATGTCCTTGAGTGGCCCGGACTTGAACCCGATCTACCATCTCTGGAGAGACCTGAAAATAGCTGTGCAGCAACGCTCCCCATCCAACCTGACAGAGCTTGAGAGGATCTGCAGAGAAGAATGGGAGAAACTCCCCAAATACAGGTGTGCCAAGCATGTAGCGCAGGGTTCTTCAATTCCGGTCCTGGAGGGCCGAAACACCTCTGTTTTTCATCCTCTCCTTCTAATCAGGGGCTAATTCAGACCTGGGACACCAGGTGAGTGCAATTAACTACCAGGTAGAAATAAAAAACAGAAGTGTTTCGGCCCTCCAGGACCGGAATTGAAGAACCCTGATGTAGCATCATACCCAAGAAGACTCAAGGCTGTAATCACTGCCAAAGGTGCTTCAACAAAGTACTGAGTAAAGGGTCTGAATACTTTCCGAAGGTACTGTAAGAAAAACCCTGAGCCCCCTTCCACTCACGGTAAAATACTTCCATATTTCTCTCTGCAGTCAGCCAATGCGGTGTGGCCAGGCCACTGCCATTCACTGTGACAAGCAGTGTGAAGCCATCCTCAACTGTTCGGAACACACCTGTATCCAGGTGTGCCACAGCGGACTGTGCCAGCCTTGCCCGCTACAGGTCAAGCAAGGTGAGATACTCAGTCCCAATATATCTTATTACTGGGCCAGGAGTTCTCCCTGACCATGTGATTTGACCAAGAACGTTTCTGTCCTTAACAGTAAAATGGCATTCCTTGACAATAATGAGGAACTCCGTGATAAGTAATGATGGCTAATGGTTTTAGCCACTGTGATGGATTTCACTCTAATGCATTCTGGTGTTTTTGTCTCATCTGTTGTTTCCTGCTGTTGCAGTGTGCTACTGCGGTGTTGTCTCTCGGGAGGTACTCTGTGGGACGGATAAAGACAACTTTGACGGCTCAGGACACTTCTCCTGTCAGAAAGCATGTGGCAAGTAAGTTCTAACCAGCAGCTTCAGATTAATAGGAAAATACAATTAGTTTTCTCCTGTGAGAATAATATTATAGATATAGATTATCTATTGCATCTTATTCATAGATTTACTTGTTATTGATTTGTGATATGTCCCCCCCCCCCCCCCCCCCTTAGGATGTTGGACTGTGAGGCCCACCAGTGCCAGCAGGTGTGCCACCCTGGGCCGTGCCTGCCGTGCCCGCGCTCCCCCAGGCTGGTGAGGAGCTGCCCCTGTGGGCAGACGGCCCTGGCCAAGCTCCTGGAGCTGGGCTACCCCGAACGCCGCAGCTGCTCCGACCCCATCCCCTCCTGTGGCAAGACCTGCAGCAAGCCTCTGCCCTGCGGCTCCAATGGTAACACAAGACACTGTGTCCACATGTATAGTGTCTCTATGGGATTCAAATGTGTTGACTTGTTCTCCACTTCATTCCAGAGACCATCCATATCTGTGAGAAGCTGTGCCATGAGGGCAGCTGTGGTCCCTGCTCGCTCACCTCCACCATCAAATGCAAATGCGGCTCTAAGACCAAGGTTAGTCCTCAAAAACAAGGACCTATGGTGTTTGTATCATGCTTGTATCTTGAGTGCAAATCTTCAAATGTAATGTTCTGTATAGACTGCGCACCGTTGTAAATGGAGGTGTAATTCTGTTCTACCAAAGAGCACCACTGAAGACTAGCTCTTTGTTTTTAGGATGTTCCCTGTGCAGCTATCCAGAATGAAGGTGAGATTTTGATCATTCTTTGAGGGGGTATAGCTACTGTACTTCATAAAAGTAGATCTGTCCTGTACTATACGGTCCTGTACATTCCTGTACTGTACGTTCCTGTACTTAACTCTTCTCTTAAATCTCGTTCCTTTCCTCCCAATTCGAGATGAACTGATTTTTACCTGTGAGAAGCGCTGCCTCAAAAAACGCTCCTGTGGCCGGCACAAATGTGGCGAGCTGTGCTGTGTGGTGAGTAACCGAAAGGTGTTCGTGCGCACGTTCGTGTGTGTCACCCAGTTATGAAAGGACACAGTCAGTAGGTAAAGCCACAAGTCATACTCTAATTAGCTGAACTGGTGTCTCACTGACATACAGTGGGGAAAAAAAGTATTTAGTCAGCCACCAATTGTGCAAGTTCTCCCACTTAAAAAGATGAGAGAGGCCTGCAATTTTCATCATAGGTACACGTCAACTATGACAGACAAATTGAGGAAAAAAATTCCAGAAAATCACATTGTAGGATTTTTAATGAATTTATTTGCAAATTATGGTGGAAAATAAGTATTTGGTCACCTACAAACAAGCAAGATTTCTGTCTCTCACAGACCTGTAACTTCTTCTTTAAGAGGCTCCTCTGTCCTCCACTCGTTACCTGTATTAATGGCACCTGTTTGAACTTGTTATCAGTATAAAATACACTTGCCCACAAGCTCAAACAGTCACACTCCAAACTCCACTATGGCCAAGACCAAAGAGCTGTCAAAGGACACCAGAAACAATATTGTAGACTTGCACCAGGCTGGGAAGACTGAATCTGCAATAAGTAAGCAGCTTGGTTTGAAGAAATCAACTGTGGGAGCAATTATTAGGAAATGGAAGGCATACAAGATCACTGATAATCTCCCTCGATCTGGGGCTCCACGAAAGATCTCACCCCGTGGGGTCAAAATAATCACAAGACCGGTGAGCAAAAATCCCAGAACCACACGGGGGGACCTAGTGAATGACCTGCAGAGAGCTGGGACATAAGTAACAAAGCCTACCATCAGTAACACACTACGCCGCCAGGGACTTAAATCCTGCAATGCCAGACGTGTCCCCCTGCTTAAGCCAGTACATGTCCAGGCCCGTCTGAAGTTTGCTAGAGTGCATTTGGATGATCCAGAAAGGATTGGGAGAATGTCATATGGTCAGATGAAACCAAAATATAACTTTTTGGTAAAAACTCAACTCGTCGTGTTTGGAGGACAAAGAATGCTGAGTTGCATCCAAAGAACACCATACCTACTGTGAAGCATGGGGGTGGAAACATCATGCTTTGTGGCTGTTTTTCTGCAAAGGGACCAGGACGACTGATTCGTGTAAAGGAAAGAATGAATGGGGCCATGTATCGTGAGATTATGAGTGAAAACCTCCTTCCATCAGCAAGGGCATTGAAGATGAAACGTGGCTGGGCCTTTCAGTATGACAATGATCCCAAACACACCGCCCGGGCAACGAAGGAAGAAGCATTTCAAGGTCCTGGAATGGCCTAGCCAGTCTCCAGATCTCAACCCCATAGAAAATATTTGGAGGGAGTTGAAAGTCCGTGTTGGCCAGCGACAGCCCCAAAACATCACTGCTCTAGAGGAGATCTGCATGGAGGAATGGGCCAAAATACCAGCAACAGTGTGTGAAAACCTTGTGAAGACTTACAGAAAACGTTTGACCTGTGTCATTGCCAACAAAGGGTATATAACAAAGTATTGAGAAACTTTTGTTATTCACCAAATACTTATTTTCCACCATAATTTGCAAATAAATTCATTAAAAATCATACAATGTGATTTTCTGGATTTTCTTTCCTCATTTTGTCTGTCATAGTTGACGTGTACCTATGATGAAAATTACAGGCCTCTCTCATCTTTTTAAGTGGGAGAACTTGCACAATTGGTGGCTGACTAAATACTTTTTTTCCCCACTGTATGTCCCCCTTTACCTACTATCTAACTAGTGTCACACTGACATATGTCCCCCCCACCCCCTAGGGCGCGGAACACAAGTGCTCTCTGATCTGTGGCTACAAGCTCAACTGTGGCCTCCACCGCTGCCAAGAGCTCTGTCACCGTGGGAACTGCCAACCCTGCTGGCAAACCAGTGAGTTCCAATCAGAGGTCCCAGTGCTGCTCCCAGTGGCACTGCCAACACAGATGTTCACATGCCAGCAGATGCCAAAGTCAATTGACTCATTTTACCCGGTCTTTGGGATTCTTTGTAGTTCAAATGTTCCTTATCTTACCTTGCTTAAGTCTAGAGCACTTCCTAGGAAGGCCATTTACTATACCAGCGGACTGTGAATCATAACTTCCACTTCAGTCAAATGTTCACTTACTGTAGTCTCCTATTGACATCCAACGTGTTAATTGTCGTGATACAGTATGTTATTGCTTGATCTTTGAGATCACATGGCCCCAGTCGCAAAGTCACACCCCCCAAAAAAAAAAAAAAAAGAACATCACACCCCAAACATACTGTAGGTTCTCATAGGCCACGTCCCTCTGAGTCTCTGCCTGTTTCCTGTATGTAGGTTTTGATGAGCTGGCCTGCCACTGTGGGATGAGTATCCTGTTCCCACCCATCGCCTGTGGCACCAAGCCCCCAGAGTGTAAGAACCTGTGTACCAGGAGACACGAGTGTGACCACCCAGGTAAAACCCTGCAGTAGTGACTACTGCTTTTTCACTTAGTTACCTCTTTGTTTCAAATATGCTGTATTAGAGAGCAGAAATATAAATGCATATACATGTACATTTAGGAATCATCATTCATATGCCATCTATTTTACTGTCTCTGTCTTTGACAAAACTGTCTGCAAAAGTTTATTCCTCATTGGTTCATACTTTCTGATGTTTGTCCTCAGTGTTCCACAACTGCCACAGTGAAGAGAAGTGCCCACCCTGTACCTACCTCACTCAGAAGTGGTGCATGGGAAAGCATGAGGTAACGTTGCTGATGTTAGCTGCCTCTACCTAACCTTCAAACCTTCACCCCTTTAAAGGCATACGGTGCATCCCAAATGGAACCCTGTTCCCTACTGGCCCTGGTCAAAAGTAGTGCACTATATAGGGTGCCATTTGGGACGCGTCCATAGTCACGACACTTCCACTAAAGCCGTCCCCTCTTCTCCTGCCCCCTGCAGCAAAGGAGCAACATCCCGTGCCACCTTCAGGACATCTCCTGTGGCCTGACCTGCAACAGGGTGCTGCTGTGTGACCTCCACCGCTGCCGCCGCATCTGCCACCGGGCAGAGTGTCTGGCCGAGGGCGTCTGCAGCCAGCCCTGCCTGCTGCCCCGGCCCGACTGTGGCCACCCCTGCAACGCCCCTTGCCACAAGGGCAGCAGCTGCCCGCGGAGCACCTGCACTGCCAAGGTACAGAAAATGAGATGTTCAACCATCTGACTCAAGGGATTTAAAAAGAAAAAGGCTTAATAAATGAAATATATGTTGACCCTGTGCCATAGAGAGACTGCACTACATCTAGGGTGACATTCTGACAGTAAACATGGAGATTTTCCACAAAATGACCGTAACTCTTCAAATACTGGGCACATGGATCAGACATGGAGATGGAATACAGGCAGCATTGTTGGACAGCAGCAGAAGTCTTCTTGTGGCCAGGGTTTGTGTGAGTTTCCACCTCTGTCCCACAGGTGGCCCTACAGTGTGACTGCGGTCGGAGAAAGGAAACGGTAGTGTGCACGGAGGCAGCCAGCGCCCATCAGAGGTCGGTGTGCGTGCCTGTGCAGTAGAATCAATGGTTTTTAGATCTATCTTGAATGCGTGCACTAAACCAGAGTTTGCTGTTATTCCACCTGACATTTTCAGAACTTGACTGTGTGTGGTGTCAGACCGGGTATAACTGTAGCAATGTACTGTAGGTATGCAGCCATTGCCATGGCCAGTAAGCTGTCTGACATGCAGCTGGGTGACTCTGTAGACATCGGTCTCATCACTAAGAAGGAGATGAAACAGACCAAGTAAGATGGGACCAAACCTGACTCCAAGCTTACAGCATACAACACTTACAGTAAATCACCTTGTACTAAATATGAGTGTGCCATATCCAACTTATTTTTTTGTGTGTTCTGGCTCAGGTTGGAGTGTGACGAGGGTTGTGCTGCACTGGAAAGGAACAGGTCAGTTGTTACACTGCTATTACACATGCACACACTTGATATTTGTAGCTCTCGTGACATTTAATATGCACAGCTTTAGGCTGTCAAATTGATTTGTTTCCTTCAATGTACTGTCAACTTGAGAGCCTTCTCCTGTCTTGAGAGACTGTAATCTTTAGATCTGTGGACCTTTGTCTGCCCGTGTTTTATGACCTGGCTGTGTGTGTCTGTGTCCTGACAGGCGATTGGCTGAGGCCTTGCAGATTGACCCGTCAGTGAACCCCTTCAACATGCGCTCTTCCTCCTCAACATACAGTGACAGCCTCAGAGTTGATGCCAGGTGGTGTACCAATACATAGAGTATTTTCTCTGCATGCCAAGGTCTGACTTCACCACAATGACTACTGAAAAAGTTCTCAAATATATATATATGTGCATGTTGTTGTGGTGCTTATATTTCCCAATTGAAGGCGGATTTATGGCGCTGATGTACTTCGAGCCAAGACCGGTGTCCTTTTTGAGACATGTTTTCACATTTTCATTGATGGATAATATTTACCACGATCACGTCATTTCTGTATTTTTCACATTTTAGAAAAGATTTTAAGTTTGTCAGCGAGGTAGAAGAGGAGATCAAGAATCTGGTTGAGCTCGCCAGCAAGGTAAGGGACCAATAGACATGATCTGTGGCCCAAATGGGACCCTATTTCCTATAATAATAGTGCACTACATTTGACCAGAGCCCAATGTGGGAATAGGGTGCCATTTTGCACGCAGACAGTGATTTTCACACAGAATTACACAGATCATCAAAAATGTCTACAGCTGCACCATCAAGAGCATCCTGAACGGTTGCATCACCGCCTGATATGGAAACTGCTCGGCATCCGACCGTAAGGCGCTACAGAGGGTAGTGCGTACGGCCCAGTACATCACTGGGGCCAAGCTTCCTGCCATCCAGGTCCTCTATACTAGGCGGTGTCAGAGGAAGGCCCAAAGAATTGTCAAAGACTCCAGTCACCCAAGTCATAGACTGTTCTCTCTGTTACCGCACGGCAAGCGGGACCAGAGCACCAAGTCTAGGTACAAAAGGCTCCTTAGCAGCTTCTACCCCCAAGCCATAAGACCGCTGAACAATTAATCAAATGGCTACCTGGATTATTTGCATATTTTTCTTTACAATGCTGCTACTTGCGGTTTATTATCTATGCATAGTCACTTTACACCTACTACCTAAATGTACATATTACCTCAATTACCTTGACTAACCTGTACCCCCACACATTGACTCTGTACCGGTACCCCCTGTATATAGCCTCGTTATTATTTTGTTACTTTTTTTAACTTTAGTTTATTTAGTAAATATTTTCTTAACTTATTTTCTTAACTGCATTGTTGGTTAAGGGCTTGTAAGTAAGCATTTCACGGTAAGGGCTATACCTGTTGTATTCGGCGCATGTGACGAATAAGATTTGATTTGACCTTCGAAAAGGACAGGTATAGGAAATGTCACCCACGTCTTAAACGGAGAACCAATGTGTATTAAGAGCATTACCTAAGAGCAGTTAGATGTAATGGGGCTAGATTGGAACGCATAATGCAGGGCCAGCATTTCCCTATACATGATTGGGTTTCCCTAAACCACTACCAGTTTACCAGAGGTCCTTCAGTTTGCAATGAGACTGAATTTGGCTAAAAGGTTCTGGTCCACTTAGTTGAAGGAGTGCTGGAAAGGCTTGAAACACATTTGAATGTCCTTGGTTATTATGATGGGTATTGATAATATCCACGATGGGTTCTATTTGTCGTCAGTTATCCCTTTTGGTTCTGAAAACATTCGAAAAAGACTACTTTAGTCAGCATAACGTCAAGTGAATCGGCTCCGGTAGCTTGCAATGTTTAGGACAAAATGTCATGAACTGAGTGGAAATGCAAATGTATTTATTTAAACCTTAAATGGGTAATTCGGAACTATCTTTCGTAGTGGAAACATGAAGTCTGTTAAGGGACTGTGTGTGGAACCCGTTTGCAGGGTAAACAGTCCAAAAGGAGCCACTGCTTCCCCCCCATGAACAGGGAGCACAGGAAGCTGGTCCACGAGCTGGCGGAGGCCTACAACGTGGAGAGTGTGAGCTACGACAGCGAGCCCAAACGCAACATAGTCATCACCGCCATCAGGTAAACACCTCGACAGGAAAACGTTTCTTTAGTAAGGCAAGTTACACTCCACCTCAAAATAGACACATTTCTGTTAACTTGAAAAGACTACATAATTACTGTCTGTGCAACAGTATCAGCTGGGTATATTTTGTATCAATAGATGTGTATTGTGAACAACTGACAAAATGTGTGAAGTCTGGCATTCTGAGGATGTGCAGTAACTTTGTGCTTCTTGCTGTGCGCAGGGGGAAGTCTGCCTGTCCTAACTCAACCCTGACCTCCCTGATAGAGAGAGACACTGGCGTCCCGAGGGCTCCTCTACCCATTGCCCATATCAAACATAGCAGCAAGTAAGCCTGGGTCTTTTCACTCTCACAACGTCCATATAATCACGCCACAAACACACACACACACACACACACACACTTGGTTCTTAGTTCGTAGCATCTCAATGTCCCAATGACTTGTAACTAGCTAGTTACCTGTGGTTGTTTTTGTCATCAGGGCTGACAGTGTGAGCAGCTGGTCCAAGTCAGTCAAAGAAGAACCGGTGATCGACTACTTCGATGTCCAGGATTAATAAAGAAACAAAAGAAGCAAGCCTCATGGTGTAACAATCATACTAAATAAAGAATGCTTCTGCTGCTCGTCGATTTTCGGGAAATCTGTGATGCTATCTCCCCTCCCTCATTTAGGTTATTTAGCTCTTGAAGGCCAACATGTCACTACAATACTATTTTGTAACCATGGTAAAAGTGTAATGTTTGAGACTGTGCCATGAGCATCATTGTTCAGTGGCATTACAGCGCTTCCTTTACGCAAATGCGTACTCTCCAGACTTTGAAAATAATAATTGATTGCGTTTTTATAGGTAGCAATTTTCACAAGTTCTCAACGCAGGACTACCAGTATTTTGTATTCTACGAGGGGACATACCTTACACCTTATTTAAATAAAGCAATTTTTCAATGGTTTTGTTGATACTTTACTTGCTGATATATTGCAGATTAAGGTTAAAGGGGAAGAGTTAGCTAACATGAAAAAGAGCTAAAAAGTAGTCAGTAGTTGAAAAGTTGCTAATTAGCTAAAATTCGTTTTTGCTTATGCACTGACAGATACTATGAAATATAACTATACACAACATACTACTACATTATAATGAAGTATTTTGAGATGGAAGGCTTATTATATGCTATAATCTTTGGCTACTGTCTTTAAAGTACATTATGTGTTGGTACTTTAGGACATAAACTGGGTTGCATTTAACTACCGGTATATAAATAATTACATTATGATGCTCAGGTGATGGAAGGGGCAGGATCAAAACGCCCTGCATCTTTCAAAAAACGAGCTGCAGACAGATCTTCATCCTTTGTGCCTTTTTCATCAACCTGGTCTCAGAGCATTTCGTATTATTCTGTATGTAAATACGAGACACTCCATTTAGTATTATACCTTACATTTATAATTTGTGGATGTCCATCACCCATTTCGTATGATATGTTACGAATTACAATTCGTATTCTATATTACGAATGAGAAAAATGTACAATATATGAGTTTGTGAAACGTACAATATGTTACGAAAATGCTAAATGTATTATATGTCACGATTTTGCAAAAGTATGATATGTTACAAATTCTAGCTAAGTGGCTAACGTTAGCTGGGGTAGAGATTAAGGTTAAAGGGGAAGAGTTAGCTAACATGAAAAAGAGCTAAAAAGTAGTCAGTAGTTGAAAAGTTGCTAATTAGCTAAAATTGTGTGTGATGAGATTTGAACTAGCAACCTTTAGGTTGCTAGACGTTCGCGTTAGCACTCAACCACCCTACTTTCGTTTTTGCTTATGTAACCATACGAAATGAAACATATACTAAATGGTGTCTCGGATATACCTACAGAATAATACGAAATGGTATGAGACCAGGTGGCAACCCAACCATGGACTATATAGGAGACTAGTCCTTGACTGTTTACATCCCTTGTGAAATATTGGTGGGCAGACAGTGTGTTTCAACGGTAGAATGGGTAATTTGATGACATTCCCCTGCTAGTCCAATTTTTCATTTTATCCCGTCTCCAGCAGAGCACGCGCCTGCGCTTCTTGAACCGAACTAAGAATCACCAGACCCGGCTCCATCCCCGAGACTGCGTCCCCTGTGTCTACAGTCGCCGATGAACCAGTCTACCTAATGAGGGAGTGATCGAGAGTTGCTATTGGAAGCCGTGAGCAAGTTCAGGAGTGAACACCGGACAGATCTTTAGAAACATTACAGTTTGCCTTCAGTGCTCGGACTGGATCTCAGCAATGGAGAGAAAGGTAAGAATTGTGCCCGCAGCACACGGTTTTTTATTGTCTTGACATTCGTTTTCTTTTATACTATGTGCTCAGTGCTTCACCCCTGCATAGTGAGAAAAAAATGTTTTCCACCATTATAGAGCTCCCCAGCCCACGGAATCAGAAGGCGCATTGCCAGCCGGATTAGTGCGCACGGGAGTTTTCCGACTGGGTCTAGTTTGTGTATCTGAAAATCTTTTGATGAATTGTTGAAACTATCCTTTCATTTTCATGTTTATTCCTTGAAAATGCTATCTAGGTATTTTATTGAAACGTGAAGATTGACATCCGACCGCATGTAAACTGTCTGCATCAGTGCATCACATAATTAATTATACAAGGCTATACAATAGTTGTAGCCTGCACCTCACCTCACCCCTCCCCTGAACCACCACCCAGCCCCGTTTTCCGCCGTTGCAGACACGGCCGGCTTGTTAACCTTGACTAGTGTAAGAAATAGACACTTAAGCAGCAATAGGGGAGATGCACACTGTATCCGACCAGAGAGTAGACCGACAGACAACACTCCCCTTCTCTGTTTGCCGCATGTAGAACAACCAAAGTGTGAAATGACTCTCATTCACTGCTCTCTTCTGTCTATGCCCTATGGCTATAAAATAGGCTAGACGAAATTGACATGGCCTTTATTTGTTGTGTTGTATGAATACAATTCCCATGTTACATGAAGTGTCCTAAAACCTATTTACATTGTAGCTACATAAATGGTACATTGTAATTACAGTGTAAAATCGAGGTTGTAGGCTACTTACTGCCATGTTTGTAGGTTGTGTAATTATACAATACACAAATATCTTCACATCCTCTCACTATGTAATTAGTGTTTTAGATTAGAATATTCAGTTATCTCCATTTGCAAATGCTTGGGATTATGTATACCACAAACAGATGACAGTTCTAAGTAATAAGTACTGTGTAACAATTGTTATTTCACTTTACCTAAACTGCCTATGTGGTTTTTGGGAACTTAATATAATGTGGGACCACTATGGGTCAGTAAGTAATTGAACCCATTGCTCTGAGGATTATCCCAAGTTTATGATCCAGTTCTTTATGGTTGGTAGATATACAGTATTTCTCAGGTGTAGTGTAGTGGTAGGCCCAAAAAATTACTTTATATTTTTGAAACAACATAAGCCAATATACTACAACATGTATTCCTCCTGTAGCTCATTTGGTAGAGCATGGCGCTTGCAACGCCAGGGTTGTGGGTTCGATTCCCACGGGGGGCAGTATGAAAAATGTATGCACTCACTAACTGTAAGTCGCTCTGGATAAGAGCGTCTGCTAAATGATTAAAATGTAAATGTAAAACATGTAATGTATTCAACCTATATTTTATATTTGGAGGTTGGCCTCTTAATCCTGTTAGGATTGTGTTGGTTTAGTGATAGTGATGTGAGGGGGTTGTAGTTTGGTAGGCCTCTATGCAAAACTTTCCTTTGCCTGTGGCTCAGTGGTGTTTGCAGAGACAGGGGCATGTGGAATGCACTATAGCATTCTGGCCTCAGAAGCCTTCTACATGGATGCATCGCATCTCATGAAAAGGTTTGGAGCAGAGACTCAAGCTCCTCTCTATATCTACTGTATGTAGGGGGCTTGATTATCTGTGCAATGTGTTGGGATTATTTTAAAACTCAAACACTAATGCTTCTATACTAATCAAGTAATGGTGGTACTCATTGTGAGGATAGTGCGAGGAGTAGCTACAGGTAACTGCCAAAATAAAGGAAACACTTGAGTAAATGAGGGATACAAAGTATATTGAAAGCAGGTGCTTCCACACAGTTGTGGTTTCTGAGTTAATTAAGCAATTAACATCCCATCATGCCATTATTTTGGCTACCATGGCTATGCCCCTATAGGATTACAATGTCCCCCATCCACAGGGCACGAGTGGTCACTGAATGGTTTGATGAGCATGAAAACGATGTAAACCATATGCCATGGCCGTCTCAATCACCAGATCTCAACCCAATTGAACATTTATGTGAGATTCTGGAGTGGTGCCTGAGGCAGCGTTTTCCACCACCTTCAACAAAACACAAAATGATGGAATTTCTTGTGGAAGAATGGTGTCGCATCCCTCCAATAGAGTTCCAGACACTTGTAGAATCTATGCCAAGGTGCATTGAAGCTGTTCTGTCTCGTGGTGGCCCAACGCCCTGTTAAGACACTTTATGTTGGTGTGTAATTTATTTAGTCGGTTACCGGTATGTGTGAGATATAAGGCACTTTCACTTGGTCTTCTAGTAAAACACTGTGAACTAGATTTGTTGCCCGAATGTAGGCTAGTGGTGGCATTTATCTTGATCATCATTTGTCCTATTTTACTACAAAGCATGTCAGTTAGAGGGCGATTCAGTTACAGCTTTATAATTCAATATCCAAACTCGTTATGCATTATTACAAAAACTGCTGTGGTCGTACTGAAGTTTTCCATCCAATACATTTTGATGATATATATGAGCGGCATTTCATTCTCCCTTGTGCTTAGATTCCATCCAGACAAAGAAAACAGTGGATTTCCATGCCATAACCCTGTTGGAATGTGTGGCTTCTGCACTGTCCCTCGTGCAGTGTCAGCATTTCACCTTGCAATGTGTGAACTTACTGTGGCTCTGCCGAAAAGTTTTCATTGGAAAACGGGTTGCAACTGCTTATGTAGCTTATAAGTGCTAGGGAGAAAACTTCCTCAAGGCAGTAACATATCGCACTAACTTCTTAAAGATGGCGTAAGCTTGATTTAAGTGTTGTTGTCTATGTACAGAAGAGGCGTGGCACATGTCACTTTAGAGGGGTGAGGCATGACCCCTAGCCCTGACGGTCAGCATCAGCCATTGGTACAGACCAGTGGTCAGATCTTTTTTCATCCACCTAATGGTTAAGGCCAGGGCTGTGAGTAAGGTAAACTGATCCTAGATCTGTAGTTAGGGTCAGCCTCTACCTCGAGCCCTGAGAGGGAGTCAGATGGTCCACCCTGCTGCATTCAAGTCTGCAGGGAAAGAAAAAGTGCCATTAGTATTCATGGGACTGTCACACCTCAAGAGGCCTGATAAAATATCAGCTCTTTTTTCACAAGAGACACTTAAAGGATGGCTGAACAGTAATATAACCCCTCTACATCTACCTCTCTCCTTTCTCCCCTCTCCCTCCTTCCCTCTCTCTTCATCTCTCCCTCTCTGTTCTCTTGAATTTAAAATACCGGTAGATAGATGACCCATCATCCCAACAGGGGAGAGATGTAGGATGAAAGTTTTGTTCGAGTGCCCATAGTTTTCTTTTTGCTCATGAGCCATGATTTGGCTTCACAGCAGAACTTCTTGAGAACATGGCTTATATGGTACCTGAATATAAGTACGATATTGGTCATATCATGACCCAC